AGTCTCAAATTAGTTTACATTAATTTTTTAACCGAAAATTAATGTAAACTAATTCCCATGTAAATTGATTTAAATTGGTTTAGATCTAAATTAGTTCCAACGAATTTTTAATTTAAAATTATTGTAAATTAATGCTTTTACAAATTAATTTAAACCATTCTAAAATCACAAATTCGTTTAATTTAATGCGATAGGAAATTAACAACGATAAAAATGAATTCAGATTAATTTTTAGCTGAAAATTTTGAATTAATTTCTATCAGATTAGTGCAAATTACTAAATTGAGTTAAAGGAATTTGGGAAAACATTAATTCAAATTAATTTGAGTTTCAAATTAGTGTAGAGTTTTCGAATTAATGTACACTAATTCGAAGCTCGAAATTCGTGTACATTAATTTAATATGAGACTTTGTATAATGCGGTAACGAGGGAAATTAATTTTTTCACGAAAAATGAACTAAAATTAATGTCAGTATTTTCAAATTAAAGCGCATTAATTTGAAGTATATTCTTTTATTTTTTTTTCATTTATTCAAAGATTTAAAGTGATGCGCATTAATTTTGAACGCCAAAAAGTTTTTTAAATTAATGTGAACGAATTTCCTCTCAAATTCGCTCAAATTCCTTTGCATTAATTCGAAAGTATTTAAAAGTTCCAATGGGCTATTCGAAATGTTTCAGATACGGTCAGGTTTTCCAAAGATTACCCGGAGCGTCCTCATCAAAAACCCTCCTCATGGAAACCTGACACCAAGCCTCTTGTTTCGCATGATGAAAATTAATTATTTGTTTACTTTCTTTTATAAAAGAAAAAATGCGATAGACGCCCTGTTTTATTCATAATGGTATCATTTACCGAGATGATGAAACTACAGAAATTCGTGCGAAAGTTGATGCTGAACAAACAATAAAAGAATTAAAAGAAAAGTATCCAAAGCCAGTTGGATCAGAACTTTCTTATAATGACAACAATAATGATAATGTAAAAACGAATGAAACAACAGTCAATAATAAAACACAAATAAACACCAGATAAAAAAACAATCCTGGAGCAGAAGATAACCTCAATGCTAACAGATAACCTTTTCTGAGCTCAGTTTTCAATTATCAGCATGCAGTAGTATTTCGCTTCGTTTCATTATACATACATCAATGCCAGTTCGAATGTCATTCTAGCGTATGGGTGATTCTTTCGAGAACGTACACGTTTACATTCACCTCGTCCAAATTGTTCGGGAGTAACAGGACTAGTACAACTCGGACTCTTGAGGATGAATATCAAACAACGGTATGGTGGCCTTCCAGACCTGTGAAAATCCCATTTCCCAGCAGAACAGCCCGTTTCTGGGCATTTTCACCATTTTCTAGTGAGGCACTTTCATGAGCTGGTACCGTCAGATTAGATTCTATATGTGCAGAGCTATAAAATCACTAGCAGACAAAATGTTAAGCACGTTCTTAGAAAAATTTAAAAAAATATTCTTTTTTCCGAAACGTAGGCTTATTTGTAAACCATTTTTTCCCTATAAAAGCATATCAACACAAGACAACAAGACATGTATTCACCGCGTCTTTTCAAGCTCTATCCGATGAAGTGCTTCAAACTGAGATTAAAAAACACTTAATGCTAGAAAAAAACAACTTTTGGAGGCGATTTTCCTCATTTTTCAAAGTTTGAGTACGTGCTGCACCATTCTACGGGATTGCAGGACCTGGGATGACATATATTTCGCATGTACTCGATGTTAGGCTATTAGAAAAACAGATTTTCGTCAAGGGCCAAGAACCTTCGAAGCAGGTGCTTTTCCACCGAAAATCCCACAGGATTTCCATCTGTTTCCAAGGTTCTTGGCCCTTAAAACAGGTTTTCGTCTCTAACTTAGGCCTATGATAGTTCTCGTTCAAAGAACGGGAATTGTTTTTCAGTTGGCGTTCAATGAACGGGAACGATTTTTCAGTTTCCGTTCCCGATTCTGAACCAGGAACCGTTCAGCAGTTCACGCTTCTAGAAATGCGAAATGGTTCATCAGTTCCAGTTCCTGCGAACGGGTCCTTTTTTAACTGGAAACTGCATGATATATTTGAGCTTCTTTTCTAATCTACTAGCGTTCTATCTCCTTTAGGATGTTAGTACATTTTACGGTTCAATATGAATACGACGGTTTATTTGATGCCGTTCCTTTATATGCTTGTTTCTGAGTAAAATTTCACGGAGATACTAACAATCAAAATAATAAAAACTACCAACATTCATACTTTGTCTTTCAAAACCATAGACATTCTCGTTGTTGCTGAAGTTAGTGATAGACGATTTTTCCTTGTAAAATTATTAGCTTGCGAAAATGTACTTTCACTAGGTACACTTGTGGCTAGTATTGCTAGCTGGTAGATTAAGATCTTAAGAAGTAACGAACTAAATTCACTCCACAAAGCCTGCCACATAATCTGAGAGTCTCTTTGGACATATCTCCTGTCAATGCTCACTCTTTCGAAATCTTATGTTTGTGAAATGAAATACATAATATATCAACAAATCACTAAAGGACACTGAGCAGATTCCAGTTAAACAAGAACTGTTCCCGTTCGCAGGAACTGGAACTGATAAACCGTTCCTCCTTTCTAGAAACGTGTACTGCTGAACCATTGCTAGTTCAGGAACGAAACCGCACTCAGTTGAACGCGAACTGAAAAACAGTTCCCGTTATCAAGAAACTGCAGTACAAGGAACTATGAACTGTCACAGGCCTAGTGTAGCTAAAAGCGACGTCACATACATTCTTGGTATTCTTAGGAAGTTCTCACCTATTATAATATTTATCGCTATTTGTATAATCTTACAGTAACATTTTGAAGTCACATACTTTTTTCTTCTTTTAGAGTCGTAGAGCATCCACAGGAATTTTCATACCACCCAATGTTGATGTTAAAAATGAAAAGTCTAATATAGAGAATGACAATCGCTTAGTGAAAAAACAAGAAATAGATGCTGATACAACCAGCAGAAAGCACACAGATTTCAGTATAAAAGAACAAATGAACACAAATAGAACTCATATAAGTAACACAGCTTTTGAAAAATCAAACAGTCACATGAATACGGCTGATCATACTGCGACAACATTGATAGGGACTAATATTAATGTAGAATCTCATAATATACAAAATCAAACGAACACAGATAATCATTATGCAACAACCATAATAGGTAGCAACATGAATATACAAGCTGTCAATATGCAAAATCAAAAGGATACGACTAATCACAATGTAACCATCATAAGAGGTGATAATATGGATATAAAAACACTCAATAACCAAACTCAAATTAACAGTACTAAGCACGGCATCACAAGCATAGCAGGTAATAACAGGAATGTACGAGCTCTAAGTTTAAAATATTCTGAATCGAATATCACAGATCACGAGAGAAAAAAAAAACTATGTGGATTATTTACAAGAAAATTTACGTAAAGAGCTGGGACCAATCAAACTGGATATGAATGGAGAAGACAACGATCAAAGAAATGGTGGCCATGATGATAACAAACGTGATCAAACAGTAGAAAGAAAACATTTTCCAAGAGAGGAAAAACGAGATAGAGAGGGTACAGTGAACTTTTTAAAAAAAGAATATACTGAGAAAGTTAGGCGTGATACAGATCATCAAGATGAATCAAGAACATTTTCTGCTGAAACCACTATGATCTCAACTGAGAGTGAAGCAACAATTTTCAAGAACGAACCTTGGGGGCCTAATAAAAATATTCACACTTTCTCAACAATATGCATAATGACATCACCGAAACAAGTTGAAAGAATTGGAAAGAATATTCACGGGTTCGCTGATGGATCATAATGAAACTATACAAAAGCTTTACCAGAAAAAACTGTATCCGTACTAATTAAAATAATTTGTAATACTTCTATGATTTTTCATTTACTTACATTTTGCTGTTTTATTTATTTAATTTTGAAAAGATGTGTATTTTTTTTTTTTGGTTCTGAGAACATTTCTGGTCGGAGTTATAGATTTTCCCCAAACCCTTGGTTTTTCCGGTAAAATCCATTTTTCTCATCCCAGAAGCACTTTCATTAAAAACTAATGATATATTTAGAATCAGCGCGCCGAACTACGTCGAATGCGATGTCAGTTGTATGTTTTTATGTTCCAAAAATCGTTCGATTTAATGAAACGTAGATTTGCAGCATTCCCGTAGCAATTTTGGCTAGACACTAGAATTTTTAATTTAGAAGCAGTTTGAAAGCTTACGAAAAGTATTTTCACAGGTTTTCGGATGCGCTCTTTTCAACGGTTTGATTTACAAAGTCCAGAACACTTTTATTCGGGTTGTCCAGAGACCGAATATTTGGCGCTGATAAAAACATCTTTGAACTTGTAAATCACGCCACTGGAAAGAGCGCATCCGAGAACCTATGTTTAAAATAGTGTTTAGAGGCTTACGTATCACTTTTATGGCATATGTCCACGTGCCTAGTCAAAATTCCCCATTGTGTCTCACTGACGTTTCCAATCGAACATACCGATAAGAAAAAAAATGACACATTGTTTTTGAAACTATGATCATTCTCGACCGATTTGAGAGCACACAATAGTATATTGCCCTTTTCGCACTTAGCCCGAAAATGTTCTATTAAGATTTTGTTTATCTTCATTCAAGATCTTCAAGATGTGACATTTTATTTGATTGAATTTTCACTCTGAGTTTTGATCTTGCATGTTGTTTCATGTCCAGGGGCTCAACAAGGATCAACATCACCTCATATCAATCGTGGATATTCAGGACATGAATTAAAGGCATCGTATTACATGGCACAGTTGGATGTGGCGAAGATGAATGTTAGGTGTTATTAAAATGATGTCTTTTAGCCAGGTTGTTAATTGTATCTTATGGTGTTGATTAAACGAATGGCTTTTTCACATTATCGGTTAATTCGACGTAAACTACAAATACGCTAACACGAAATCTATCATGTTATTATGGAAAAGTTGGTAGAGGGGAGAATACTTATTGGTATTACAAACCATCATATCGTAATTCTCAGTATTATATTCTTATATTATCTGTATATTATTCTAATGGAAATTTGACGCAACAAATTAAATTTAGTAGACCTACTATTTGATATAAGCTGTTTATTAGTGATGATGTAACAGAAAAAAAACAAAATCCAAAATGAATAACAGCAAACGAAATGAAACAATCTTTAAGATATAAAGTACTAGCGAATCTCTTTGATCCATGTTGCATAATGAGAATAGATATTGGGAATGACACATACAGAATGGGCCCATGATGGAGTAGCAAACAGAGAGAAGTAGAACAAGGAAAAAAGAAAGAAAAGACAAATTATAATGATTAAAGTAGGTAAATAAATAAAGATTAAAGAGAACATACACACACAAGATGTTGTTGTTGAAAGAGTACAAATGATAAATTTAAGCTATACTAGGGAGTCCGCCTGTATCCAGCATCTAGAGTGTGTATATTTGAAGAGAGAGACAAAGATTTTATTTAGTTATAAATCAGAGCAATGTAACTGAAAATTGTCGGGTGTTAAATATGACAGTCTAAGTAGTTAACAACGTATAAGTAATCTTCAGAAAAATTAAAAATTAATGATATTATTTATTTAATTTACTCTACTGTGTTAAATTTTGTCATTTTATTGTTATCACTGCTTCCTCACGTTGACTGTATAAGCTCATTTATTTATTATCAAGTAGTTCAAATCCATATGCCTCATGCATTATCTGAGAAGATAGAAAATAATTCATTTCGCAACGTTCTTACGTTCGTCAATATGCATTTAAAACAGTTAATTTAAACAATAAACTTTCTAGTCTAAAAATCGATACTAAAACATTATAATGTTACAATGTCAATTGACGTCTGACAAGATAGCAATAATTGTAAAAGAGGTTGGTACACATAAGTTAACAATTAAATGGAATGTAACTACAGATGTTTGCTGAAAGAAACAAGGATAGCCACATAAAAATTGCATATAATTAAATGTATTATTACATGGATTAATAAACATAAATATAATTATCATAAATGGTATATATAAAAGACAAATGGATGATGGTATATAATGGTATATTAAACGTCCACGCTTTGTTCTAAAAACATTTGGATTAAATATAAAAAGATGACGTTGAACACTTGTCCATGCCATAAATACAATCAATGTATCGGTTGTTGTAAAATACCAAAAACCCCAGAATAAACAAAATCCAGGTATTTGAGGATAAACTATAGATTTTATGAGATAATTAAGTGAAATTGGTAGTTCAGTTGTAATCACTAATGTAGAACATACAAGCAGAACAAACACAGCATAATTATGTAATTGTTCATATAATTCTCTCTTAATTATAAACTGATATAACACAAATAATGCACATATAATGGATGGTATTTGAAATATAATCAATACTGATATGATCACTGAATTATCAACATAGGATGGTGGAATTAATGAAAAATTTGACGGAGACGACATTCTAAATTTTACGAAAATGATAACAACTGATCATATAAATGTTAAAGAAAATAATTAAAAAGATCGCAACATGATACTCATCAGGTTCACACTGTGATATGACGTGAATAGCCTGTTCATGATTGAGTTCTTTTTTACCGGAAAACATTTTCTTGACATTGCTCCGGGCATAAAAATAGAATTTTTTTATTGTTCATCTTGTCAATCATAGTAGTTAGAACAAATTTGAAAAAAGATTTTTACCGCTGAAAGAATTTCCAATTTGACAAGGTGTATATAAAGATTTCATCGACAACGACAGAAATGAAAAAGAAAGGTAGCGAATAATTTTGGATTCATTGTATGTTTAACCTTTTTCTTTCTTGTCAAATCTTTGTGATCAAACACTGCGACATCTATAATACACTATCACATTCTTATCATACTTTTAAATATATCAGCTAGTCTCTAAACATGCCTGTGAGCAACAAAAATCATATTACTACGTTTATTTTGAATCCTACATTAACTCTGGTACTATTACCTATAACATGTTACATTTGTTCTAAAACGACAAAAGAGCCTAGACTTTTTTGCGAATCAGTGAAGACATTGGGAATAGACCAAGTTGTAGAGAATTGAAAGAGCTTTAAAAGAGTCTATTTTAGGAAAATGGATTTTTTCTTTTAAAAAAGTTAGCTACAGGTCGCAGTTTTCTCTAGTCCTACATGGTATGTTGAAGTTAACGACCGTTTGCAAATCAGTAATGATATTTTGAATACGTCAGTTTGTAGAGAATTAAAAGAGCTCTCTAATTATGCCTTGATTTCTTTATATGTTCCTATAGTGCCAGAGAAAAGCGCATGAGAAGGATTTTAATTGTGCTCCGTAATGCCATCTTCCAAGTGAAGGTCCTATCTTGATGGAACGGCTATAATCACTTAAAAGCACCTAAAATCAAATATTCATAGTTTTTTGCTTCTCATAGGACCATTCTGAGCAGAAAAAAAAGTGGGCTGGATCTTCACCTTGTACGCACCCGTCCTTTTCCTTTTATTGCTTGTGAATATTCTAAACAATGCTCCTCACTCCTACCTTTTACATTGAGTTACGCCCCTGCATTTAAATAATTTTATAATTATTCCACGTATGTTTCAATGGTTGTTGTTGTAGAAGCCAATAATAAATTTAATGTAAATTTTTTTTATTAGTACTGGTAAAAATGATACTAACAACTTGGAGATAAATGATAATTTTTCCATTACTTCTATCGTTAAAGCGTACGTTTTTAAGAGTTAAAAATTTAAACTTTTAAAGCATTCCAACGTAATGGTTGTTGGTCATTCTTTCTACCATCAAAAAACTTAAAATCAAAAAACGGACGATGGATGAGTTTACGATGCTTTGTCGAGTTCTGTCGATTACTCATGAACTTCAGGGTTATTGGGATGAGGACTGACAAGAGAACTTTCATAAATGTCTCCAAGTGTCTTTTTATTGCCGAATGGATCTGGCAGAAATTTTTTCACAATACTCACCTTGACTATGTGCAGTATCACTAAAAAACAAGCTCAAAATGTCTATCCGTTCCTAAGATATAAGCGCTTTACTGAGCAAAAGTGTTACCTTGACAACACCCAGCGACAATTAAATCACTTTTCTTATTGAAAGCAAGCTTCTTCATACTTAATTCTTGAGAGAAAATTATAGCAGACAGCTTACTCTTTCATGGGCTCTTAATGTATGCGAATACTACTAAACCAACAACAGTTTCACGTATATATGTGGAAAACTTTTCACAAAGAGAACTTTTCACAGTCACTTTTCACCTTACAGAAAAGAATATGACGGAAAAGTAAAC